TTGAACATTCCACATGCTCCCAAATCAGTTGGCTCCCTGATCTGTCACTCAGAAGCTGTCCCTATCCACTGGCTGCGTTGCCTGAGTCTTGCCTCCAATATTCTAAACAGTTTGCTCTTCCTCTCCCCCCAGTAGCCAGTCGGAACACAGAGGTCATTTTCATATGAGGCCTGATTGGCCTTTAACATTCTAAACAGTTTGTTGTTGCTGTTGGGAGTCATTGAATGTGTCCTGAGGTAAAGTACATATCCCAATTTTCCCTTAAACGGTCACTGGAGTTGTCAAAATACATATCCCAATCTTTCCATTAACAGTCACTGGAGGTGCCAATCTCCCAGTGGGGCCTGGAGATCTCCCAGAAATCACCATATCCCAATCGTTCCTTTAACAGTCACAGGAGGTACAAATCTCCCAGTGGGACCTGGAGATCTCCCAGAAATCCAGCTGAACTCAAACCAACACAGAGCTGTCTCCCTGGAGAAAATGGCTGCTTTGGAGGGTAGACTCTATGACAGTGGTGGCAATTGGCGAACCTATGGCACGGGTGCCAGAGGTGGCACTCAGAGCCCTCTCTGTGGGCACGCGTGCCGTTGCCCCAGCCAGGCCCAGACCATCATTAAAGTGTCAAATTCTCTGCCAAATAATTTTAAGTAAATGAAAGCATTTAGGAGCCGTCCGTCAACGTGCGCGTGTGTGCGCTTTCCGCGCGTGCGCCGCCAACAATTCACCAGAAGTGCCGTGTGACGTCAATCACGTTGAGGGCGTGGCCCCGATCATTGGAGGGAAAACCATAGAGTTTTCCCTTTGACTATCGGGGCCATGCCCCCAATGTGATTGATGTGGTTGCGTCACCTCTGGTGATGCAGCCACGCTGCGCTTTGGGGGGTGGAGTTCCTCCCAGGGCCTGATTCCGCGGGGGCGAGAATCGGACCTCCGAAGTGGGGGTTTACCCGCTACCCGCCCCCACTTGGCAGCCCTAATTTTCCCCTTCCCTCTGCCGTCCCACCAACCACAGTTGGGACATTCACCTGGAGCTTCCTTTTAGATCTCGTTGTATTTCTTCCCACAACGGGCCTTATTCCTAGTCTATGTATAAAGCTTAAAATATGTTATTTTGTCTTACAGACAAGACAATACTGAATGGACAGTTTTATACTGCTGCTTTCTGTTGAATAAGTTTAGTACATTGTACATTGTACATTTACCTTTACCTTTACATTGAGAGTCAGTTTGGTGTAGTGGTTAAGTGTGCGGACTCTAATCTGGGAGAACTGGGTTTGATTCCCCACTCCTCCACTTGCACCTGCTGATATGACCTTGGGTCAGTCACAAGCTCTGGCACAGCTGTCCTTGAAAAAGAGCAGTTTGTGTCAGAGTTCTCTCAGCCCCACCCAACTCACAGGGTGTCTGTTGTGGGGAGGGGAAGAAAAAGGAGTTGGTAAGCCGCTCTGAGACTCCAAGTGAAGGGCGGGGTATAAATACAATCTCTTCTTCTTCTACATAACAGACAATATTTAAATTATTACCTTTCTTCTGTCATGGAATTCAAACACATACAGGCATCCCAGGATGTATCCCATCTAGACATTGACTAAGCCCAGAACAAGAAATTCGGTATAGCTGGGTTGTGTTCTGCAACCACATCAAAGGAAACTAATTTACAAGGACCCGCTGTGCTAGCACGTGGCTTCCACATTCAAGTAAACAGAGTGCAATTTGGATCAGATATTATTTTCTGTTTATGGACTGTGGATGAGTGTGTCTGAGATTTTTACTGGGATAAGATATCTCCCCCACTACAGAAAGACTGAAAAGGGTGAATGCTACTGAGAGTTAGGATACCAAGTCACCTTGTACAAAATCTGATTTGCAAGATTAAAGGAGAGATCTATGCAAGTTGGAGAACTTACATTTTGGTTTA